CCCAGATCTGATAGTGAACAATGAGACAGGTGAAAGTGATCATTATATGGTAAAATTTCATGTTCAATTTCAAGGGAAGAAGTTTGTTTTAAGACCAGTGTTTTAAACCTACATAATGGTATGAAGGCAGAGCTGGCTAAAGAGTACTGGGAAATTAGGTTAAAAGGTGGGATAGCAGAGGCACAACAACAGATTTTTAAAGAAATATTTAACAACAAGGGTATATCACAGTGACAAAGAAACTATCTTTGAGAAAGATGCATCATCATGGCTAAATTCAATAGTTTAGGATTGTGTTTCTATAGGAAAACATAACTAAAGCTAGAGTTCATCCTCCAGAACATGAGTCTGGAAAACTGATGATGGCATCCCAGGAAATGATGGAGATGTTGAAGAAGTATATTTTGTCTGTCTTCATTGTAGAAGATTTAGAAAACTTTCTGAAGATATTTGAAAATCACAAAGTGAAAGGGAAGGAGGAACTTAAAACAATCACAAAATAAGTGTTTATACATAATAAGGAGTAACATATTAGCATGGATAAAGGGTTGGTTAGCTAACAGGAAACACAACTTGTGACTGGTGGAGTTCCATTTGGATCAGGCTGTGTCAATGACTTTCATGAAGGACTCAAAAGTATGGTAGCTAAATAAGCTGATTACACCAAGATAGAATCATTGAATCATACAGTGTAGAACGGGCCCTTCAGCCTATCATGGTAGCCTGGTTAGCAAGGTTGGGTCACATGGAACCCAGGGGGATCTAACCAATTGGATACAAAATTGACTTGAAGGCAGGAGACATAGGGTTGCTTTTCAGACTGGAAACCTGTGACCACAAGGATCTGGGCAGGATCCACTGCTTTTTGTCATTTATATAAATTATTTGTATGTGAACATAGGAGGTATTGTTAGTAAGTTTGCAGATGACACCAAAATTGGAGGTGTAGTGGACAGTGAAGAAGGTTACCTCAGAGTACAATGGGACCTTGATAGATGGGCCGATGGACTGAGGAGGGGCAGATGGAGTTTAATTTAGATAAATTTGTGGTGTTTCATTTTTGTAAGGCAAATCAGGGCAGGAATTATACACTTGATGATAGGGCCCTGGAACAGAGAGACCTAGGGGTACAGGTACATAGTTCCTTGAAAGTGGAGTCGCTGGTAGACAGGGTGGTGAAGAAGGTGTTTGGCATGATTGCTTTCATTGGTCAGAGCATTGAGTATAGGATTTGGAACATTATGATGCAGCTGTACAGGACATTGGTTAGGCCACTTTTAGAATATACATTCAATTCTGGTCTTCCTGCTTTAGGAAAGATGTTGTTAAACTTAAAAGGGCTCAGAAAAGATTTACAAGAATATTGCCTGGATTAGACGGTTTCAGCTTTAAGGAGAAGCTGAATAGGTTGGGGTTATTTTCCCCTGATTGTTGGAGGCTGAGGGGTGACCTTATGGAGAGGACCTGAAGAGTATCTTTTTCACACAGAGGGTGGTGCCTGTAGGGAATGAGCTGCCAGAGGAGGTGGTGGATTCTGGCACAATTACAACATTTAAAAGGTATCTTGTTGGGTATATGAATAGGAAGGGTTAAGAAGGACATGGGCCAAATGCTGGCGAATGGGACTAGATCAGTTTAGGATGTTTGGTCAGCCAAATTTGGACCAAAGAGTCCGTTTCTGTGCTATATGACTCTGAGTCTATTGAATCTATGCTGCCAAAAATATACTACTGTCTACACTAGTCACTCTTCCCTGCAGTAGGCCCATTGCTTTGAATATTCTGACACTTTAAGTGCTTACCCAAGTACGTTTTAAAGGTTGTGTGGTTTTCCACCTCACCTATCCCAGGCAGTGCCTTCCAAACCCCCGCCAACCTCTGGGTGAAAAAGGTTTTCCTCAAATCCCCTCGAAGCATCCTGCCTTTCAGTTTAAAATTAATCCCCCTTGTTATCGACCCTTCGACTAAGGGGAACAGCTGCTTTCTATTCACCCTGTCCATGCCCCTCATAATAGGCTATGAAAATAAGTTGTCAAGAGGAGGTAGAGAGTCTGCAGAGAGATATAGATGGATTAAATGAGTGGGGAAACATTGGCAGATGGAATGTACTGTGGGAAAATGTGAACTTGTCCACTTTGACAAGAATAGAACAACAGGATACTGTTTAAACTGAGAGAGATTCCAGACTTTAGAAGCACAGAAGGTTCTGGGTGTGCTTGTCTATGAGTCACACAAAGTTAGTTTTCAGGTACAGCACTTATAAGGGAAAATGGAATGTTGCCAGTTAATGCAAAGGGATTGGAATATAAAAGTAGGGATGTTTGCTTTGGTTGTAAAAGGTCTAGAACATAGAACATAGAACATTACAGTGCAGTACAGGCCCTTCGGCCCTCGATGTTGCGCCGACCTGTGAAACCAATCTGAAGCCCATCTAACCTAAACTATTCCATTATCATCCATATGTTTATCCAATGACCATTTAAATGCCCTTAAAGTTGGCGAGTCCACTACTTTTGCAGGCAGGGCATTCCACGCCCTTACTACTCTCTGAGTAAAGAACCTACCTCTGACATCTGTCCTATATCTATCACCCCTCAATTTAAAGCTATGTCCCCTCGTGCTAGCCACTACCATCCAAGGAAAAAGGCTTCCACTGTCCACCCTGTCTAATCCTCTGATCATCTTGTTGAGATCACATTATATGTTCGTTTTTGGCCTTCTGATTTGGAAAAGGATGTAATCACAAAGCAATTTAGAGAACAGATAAAAATTTATTCCTCTGACAAAGAAACATTGAGCATGTTGGGCCTTTACATGCTAGAGTTCAGTAAAATGAGAGGTGATCTCAGTGAGATGTAAGGTCCTAAGAGGACTTGACGGGGTAGATTCTGACAGCTTGTTCGATGATTGTCTTTGGAATTTTTTTCCCTAGAAAGCAGAACTCTGGGTTATTGAATTTATTCAAGGTGAGCGAAATAGATTTTTGGTAAAGGATTACTGGGCAAACAGACATGACTAGTCAGGAACAAAAACAGAAGTTGCTGGAAAAGCTCAGCAGATCTGGCAGTATCTGTGAAGGAAAAAACAGAGTTAATGTTTCGGTTCCGGTGACCCTTCTGACGAAACGTTAACTCTGTTTTTTCCTTCACAGATGCTGCCAGACCTGCTGAGCTTTTCCAGCAACTTTATTTTTTCTCCTGATTTACAGCATCTGTAGTTCTTTCAGTTTTTACTAAGACCAGCCATGATCTTATTGAATGGTGGAGCAGGCTTAAAAGGCTGATTGGCCTAATTCAGTTCCTAAATCCTAAATTCTATGTTCCTCCACAGCTTTCACAATGCCGTTAACAGCCACGACCCTATCCACCCTCAGAATAATACATCTGAATGAGTTCCCGGTGAATGTGATTTAGGCAACTTGTAGAAATAGGTTCTAATAATAGCTAAGATAACAAGGTGTAGAGCTGGATGAACACAGCAGGCCAAGCAGCTTTCCTGCTCCTATGATGCTGCTTGGCCTGCTGTGTTAATCCAGCTCTACACCTCAGATTTTCCAGCATCTGCAGTTCCTACTATCTCTAATAATAGCTATGCATGTTTCTGGAGAGAATAGGGTTGTGGGATATGGAGCAAATTCAGATTGGTTACATTGAAATGTCAGGAAGTGTCAAGCTTTCTCAGAAATTGTTCTATATTATTAATGAGAGGCTCTCAGTGAACTGTGATGAGATATGCGCCAATTGTGGAAATGAATCTCAGTAACTCATCACTTATTAATCAGCCCAACTATCTTTAGGGGCAATGTTGCAGTGTTAGTACCACAATCATATTTAACAGGCAGAAACTGTTCTCAAATTTACATATCTACGAACATTACAACCTCAGATTCACCAATTGATTCTTGCATTTGGGAATAAGTAAAATTGCTGTAATAGTTTAAATGAGACACAGGTTAGAATGGCTGCTGCTTCTAAAATCTCAGCATGTTGCAGGATGCTAAAATAGAATACTTTCTGACCAGCAAATCAATCAAAGGCTGAAGTAGTTGGTCAGGGAGGTGGGGCAGGATCTCCAAAGGCAATATCTTTAACACAGACCTGATATTTACCCCATTTTATTCAGGACTATGTATCAATTTCACATCCAAGACAAAGAGAGTTGGTAGGGGACATGTATTCAACTTGGTAAAAGGTAATTTCAGGAGTAATGTAACCACTTTGACAAAAAGCGTGAAATAAGTTTGAGATTGAGCAATGGAGGCAAAAGCCTTGGGAATTATTTAAGATAATAGACAGAAGAACCAAAGAAATAATTAGGAGAATTGTTTGGATACCGTGAATTATTGTGAACTAGAATGAGGCACTTATAAGGTAAAAACCATGTCAGAGGACACAAAGGTGGTGACCAAGTACACCAGCTCCAAATGAAACACCACATTCATGAAAAAACACACAGATCCAAACCCAACAGCTCTTTTAAAAGCCACCTACAACTTCACTGTATCAGCTGAACCGTTGTCTTTTTAATATTGATTTAGAACAACAAAGAACAAAGAAAATTACAGCACAGGAACAGGCCCTTCGGCCCTCTAAGCCTGCATTGACATGCTACCTGTCACAACTAAAACCCCCTACCCTTCCGGGGACTGTATCCCTCTGTTCCCATCCTATTCATGTATTTGTCAAGACGGCCTTTAAAAGTCACTATAGTATCTGCTTCCACTATCTCCCCCGGCAGCGAGTTCCAGGTACCCACCAGCCTCTGTGTAAAAAACTTATTTTGGTTTGAAAATTATTCTGTAGAATATATATTTAATGTCTGTTCTATATTTGTGTTTTTTATAAATGTTATGTAAATTATGAAGCAGGTTCAGTAATAACTTTCAAAAGGACTAAGTGTTCTTTCTCAACTCTATAGTAATTCCTTGTGACATTCCTTCATATGGTTCCTGGGATCTGCTGACTGTTTCTGATCCATATCTTTGTCTCCTCTTTCCATAAGAATGCATGTTTGGTGGGAAGATATACAACAGCTCAGCAGCCTGGCTTGTACCTTCCAAGCCCTGCATAATGCGGACATGTCAGGTATGTGTTCCTTCTGCCCCATGTGTGTAATCAGATATTAATGTGTTTGGCTGGATTGAATGGTGAGGATGTAATGGGTGCTTCGAGTGATACAAAGTTAATACTTAAGAAGGGAATTTTAGTTAACGGTTGGTGTTGAGTGATCATGCATTGGTTTTTGGAGTTGGTGCTCACAGGCTTAGATATCTCCCTCCAATGACCAATCAATTTTCCTGAGAGACTTCTAACACCCCATTCTAACCAGCTTATCCCTCCTGTGTATAGTTCCAACTTCTACAGCTGCATCTCTGCCCTGTCACTATTTCTGGGCGAAGAAGGTGATGTATTGTTTCAAAAACTCAGACAATGCATAGGGCCTTTAAGATGCTGCAACACTTTAAATACTGCAGCAGTTCACAATTTAAGGGCAAAGCTAGATCTTATGGGATAAAGGAATAGAAGGATATGTTGTTAGGATTGGATAAAGTGGTGTGGACAAGGTCACGTCGAGAAAAAACAAAGTACAGACCTTTTGGGCTGAATGGCTTGTTTTTTTATTGCACAATTTATATATTTCTCTGTAACTATTAGGGAAAGGATCACGCCATCCTTATCCAGGCTGTGTCCATTTATGTCTCCAGCTTCACAGCAATGTGATTGACTTTTAAATGCCCGTTAAAGTGGCAGAGCAAGCCACTCTGTTATATTAACTGTTCAATAAAATGGCCCATGACATTCTCAATATTTTCCTTTCTTACACAATGACTACACTTCAAAGCTACCTTATTGACTGGAGCACTTTGGAGTGTTAAAAGGTTGTAAAAGATGCTATATAAACGCAAAAGATTTTCCTCCCTCATTCTAACTTGAATTTTTGAACCATTTTTTTGTGTAGTTGTTGTTTTGTTGAGACACAACTAATTACAGATGCTTCTCACAGAACATGAGGATCGATTAATGAAGTGGAGTTTAGCTAAATATTGATTGCCATTTGCACAAGGTTGAAGGAAGCAGGAAGTTTTGAAATATCAAAGTTAACAGCAACAAAAGTGCAGGCAGTATTTAATCCAGTCACACAGGGAACTGTGAAAATTTGTGGTGTCTCCTTGGATTTCACTTATTTTCCATGCAAATATGTGTCCTTTTTTTCATATTAAAGCCAGTCTCATGTTTATACCTGTTGTTTGGATTTTTTTTCCCCCTGTGCTTTGGTTTTCTGAGGGATCAAAGAAAGCCATGTCAAGCTGGTGTGGTGATCTGGAACCTGCGCAGACACAGAATCATAATCAGTGCAGTGTAAACCGGACATAACAATCTGTCTTTCATGTCTTACCCGCAGGAAGGTGTCATTACAGAATCAGAGATACTGTGTGTGGTCTACTGTAAAAACCCCATCATGCAGCAGGGAAGGTGCTGCCCAGTGTGTCAAGGTAATCCACCTTTACTGGGACATAGAGAGCTACAGGACTAACCTCCCCTTACTAACCCCAACCCCACCCCTCCACCAACACCCCCAATCCTCCTCTCCCCCCACCACACACATACATACACACACATACATACACACACTCACATACACACACACATACACATACACACACATATACACACACTCACACACACACACTCACACTCACACACACTCTCTC